TCTCTCTCTCTCTCTGTCTATCTGTCTATCTGTCTGTCTGTCAGACCATAAACTCCGCCATGTCTCACCGTTCAAGCAGCTGGAGCTCTCTGTGTGCCAATCATATTTCCGTGCAATGGACATTTAAGGTAAACGTAGGCGGGGCTTCATTTGTGTGTGTGTGTGTGTGTCTGTTGTGTGAACGCACCTGGCTCCCCTCCGCCACAAGGGCCATTAAGAAAAAGATATATATAAATACATTACATGAAATGAATAATGAGGGGAATATTCTTCCAGGAAGGTTATGGAGGACTTGTGGCGTTTGGTGGAAATACCCCATTACAAGTGAAATGATTAGGAAAATATAACTCAATATTAAAAGTACTGGTTAAGATGGCCCCTGTGAGCAAGTACTGTATTTAAATACAAGGAAAATCCAATAGCTTTTATTTCACAGTCACAATCATCTCCGTTTAGAGCACATTGGATACCTCCACATTGTATAGATGCCTGTTCCTCATGTGGATTGACTCCTGACACATCTGCCACTGCTGCCCTGTGAGCTTTCTTCTGCTCCACATAATCCATCAGATCTCAAAGGAGGCGGACGTCACATAAGACTGATATCCTTAAGAAACAAATTATCTAAACGCAGACAATAAAAATATATGTAGGATTAGCAATATGAGCCCATCTGTAGCCTCACTGCAGACAACTGAAGTGTAGAGATGCTGAATGTGGAAAACTACTCTGAGCTCATTTACCATAATTGCTGACAGTACTCTTTATTATTAAGGGGCTTCAGTGTATTGCCTTTATGAGGATTGTGAGTCTCATCTGGAGGCAGCTAGAGCGCAAAGGGCCTGGCTTTAAAGCTTAATACGGTACACACTGTGCCTATACATTTCCCCACTTAAGTTTAGCACATCAGCTTTAACAATGTAAGTGGTTATGTAACTACTCAACTCATTTCTTTTTCTTGCCGGGAAAATCCATTTGGCACTCACCAAGAAAACTAGGAATGTTTAGGAATTATGTGAATACGTAAAACCATTGCAGTAGATTGAAACTCATGCTGTTGTTTTGCAGTGAAAACCGTGAGGTGGAAGCCATTCTTAGAGTAATATGTTGTCTTCTGGCAGATAGTGCGCTGCTCTTCTTCAAAGCCTCTTCTGCTGGACGTACGCAGCCTGCATACACCAATATAAAAGGGACAGGTTGGACGGGTTTTATTCTCCTATTTTGCCAAATATCAAAGGATGAACCTCAAGCCGTGCAGGCTGCAACTCTGCAGGCTGGATAGTGATATCTGCTGCTACATCTCATTATGTGTTGTTCATCTAATCCTCTGGGTTGTAATTTGCTTATATGCACTCATGAAGTTTAAAGCAGGATTATGTCCCTGGCAACCAAATGTCACTTAACCGCACATTCCTCATTGGACGGCTGGAGAAAATCCACTGGAAACCAACAATTTGGTCAATACTTACATTTACTGATTGTGTGTAAAACAGCATTAACATTAGAGTCCAGTGATGGCAGTGCGAATTATGGTAAAAAACCTGGAGTAATCTCAATAGATTCACAAAATTTGATTTTTGAGCAGATTATGTTTAATCTGAAAAAACCTTTAATGAGACATAGTGTTGGTTTATCAGTTGTCAACATGCTTCATTTAGGTATATTTTTATTTTTACTCTGTTAGTAGGAGTTTAATTCAAAATGACTAAATAAAACAAAAAAATACTGGTTAAACATCATTATTATTAAACCATTATTATTATTATTTGATTTCATTTTCCAGTTTTAAGAGATTTGAATCACATTTTCTCGCGATGAATCACTTCAAACCAAAATCATTCAAATTGCCATTTAAGAGAAGAAGAGAACACTCCAGGGGTGCGATGGGAAGTGTGAGGGCTAAGAGCTAATCAAAGGCTGACCTTCACAGCTCCCATCTCCCACTAGTGCTGGTGACACGGAAGGATAGTATTGATTGACACGACTCCCGTACACGCACATGTGCTGACATTTCTAATAAGACAGCGTATCCCCTGCATGTGTGTGTACGTGATAAAGTCCCAGACAGGGTGCATCACGTCCACGTGTTAATAATTAAAGCACTTTTTCTAGAAATCAGGATCAGGGAAGTGTTCTGTTTTGTTTCTAAAAGGAAAAGCCAAATGAGAGAGCCCCCCTCTCCTGATTTCCTTTTGACCTATATATTTCAGGAGGTATCACGGAAAACAATCTCAACTCGAGAGAGAAAATGCACAAACACCAACATCAAATATTCATCCCTTTTTTTTTTGTCTCGGCTGGTTGGAGCTTTTTATTTTGTGTGTGTATGAGAAATAGTGAAGCGAGGAAGGTGTAGAAGAAGTGAGGCTCAGTGAGGTCATTTGTCTCCCCATCACAGGCCCTTTGAGGCTGCACTTTAAGGCCAGTGAGCACAACAGAAAGAAGATTTTAGGACATCCGTGTCTACAATATGGACACTATTAATAGCATTGAGAAAAGCTCTCTGTGCCATATCACTCGAGCTGCAAAGCAAAACGCAGAGACATCACTTATGTAAGCCATATTACTCGCACCTTTTAACTGAACGTGCAGCTTGTGAGGCTGAAGCTGAGGAGGGGGGGTTGACTCACTCGTCGTAATCCAGACCAATGTATTGAAAATGAGACTGGCTTTTAAATGCAAATTGCTCATTGTGTTCCCGGCTCAGAGCAGAAAATCCACAGTCAATGTTTCACACAAAACACATGATCCCATTTCACAAAGACAATCCGGATATGCCAAAATGTTTTTATTGAAATTAAGTGGCTGTTTGCAAGTCCCAAGAGACTGGGACTATCAAATGGTAAAATGTTACAGTACTAAAAAAAAAAAAGAAAATCCATTAAATTTCAATCATTATCATGTTACAATGATGATTGCAAAGTAGAGTTAGTGTAAAGGATATGCAGATTAAAGCCAAACTCTAAGTCAGCAGGAAAAACAATCACACAGACATGAGAAATGACTTCATGTGCACAAAGAGCCCTCTACTGGCAGCAAAACATACAAACCAGTAAAGAACACTGTAAACAAAATATTGAGAACTAGAGAATTATATTTCTGCAATGATTATTGATTGTTTGCAAGATAAACCACAGTGAAACATCGACTAGCTCTCAACAGCAGCCCTGACAAGAAGGCACATCATCTGTCTTTAGGCTTTGGCTTTTCAGCAAAAAGGCAACACTGTCTGTTCATGCTGAGTGCTGATTGAATAGGTTTACATTTCAAGACCAAACGAAGCGTATTTTAAAGCTGATATAAAAGGATTTAAAGTGAACAGCTAATTTGCATAGATTTGCAAGCAGGAGTAAAACTCTGGTTAGTTGACACAAAGACAGAGGAGACGTTATTTGCAGATCTTCATTTCTTACATTCAAAAATTGCCTGGAATTTGTTAGCAGTTAAACAGCCATTAAATGATAATATTTATTCTGTGTGACATTCAGCAGTACTGAATTTGCTAAAACTTGCATAATAACTCACACACAACTTTGTATATATTAAATTGCCTAAATGCTTGTAGTGAGGAATACTTTACCTCAGTAACAGAAATTAATGCATGTATATTGTACTTAATGTTTTCTTGTACATTTACTTTATATATTACATAAATGAACACTCATTCTTGCTCTACATCTTTTCTCTAATTTCCTGAAACTTTTACCATTCCTCCAAATAAACTTTTCTTTAATGATAAATTACAAATTGAAGTTTAGCCATTTCAAACACTATTCTATATAATAGTTAGGATAGCTATAATGATTTTGTTAGAACTCACATTTCTTTAGAACACCTTTTTCCCAGCTATCTACTGCATTTTTAAAAAATATTCATCTTAATATATTTCCTATTTGGCAATCATCTACTACAGTACAGTAGCAGAACAAAGTCTATCATGACACTGGAAAGAATACAAAAGTAATAATGATTGACTGTTGTTATAGGATAACTAACTTTGACTACATGCATCAGAGGTGATATATGGTCCTATAACATTGTTTCAGTGTGGACATATTTTGTCCTTTTGATGAGTTATCCTCCTTTCCTTCTAGTCGCTACCTCCACACAGCTTCAGCAGCAGCTTCTTGTAATCCCCGGAAGTATCACCCTGAGAAACAGAGTGAAAATCAATATCAATTTCAAATGATTCCAAAAATGTATTGCATAAAAAAGGAAAGAACGAAACTAGCATAATAACATGGTTAGTGCTACTTACTGAGATGGCAGTGTACAGTGATTTTCCGTAAGTCTGCGCATACGCCTGTCTGATGTCCAACATATCGATCTCAGAGCGAGATACCATGATACGGATGAGGGTTGTGTCCTTGGTCCCTGCTCCCTGTTAACACATCATAATGTGACGCGTCAATGACTGCAGCAGTGCAATCTTCTCCCGCTGCAACATCGGTGCAAGAAACAGCTGGTGTGTGATAATTAAGAATAAAATGTGATGAAATACGACAGACGTACCTGCATGGCCTTGTGGAGCCTTTCTGCAAAGTAGGCAGGGGTGTTCTTGATGCATTTCACTAGGAAGAAGGAGCATATGTAAATAGGTTAGTCTTGTATGAAGCTTTCTCAAGGTACATTCAAATTTGATGCAACCGAATCATAAATGCACTACAGAAAGACAGGTGGCTATTGTAATTAATCTGTTGTATTGTTAATGCCTCTGCCAAAGTGTTTTTCTTTTGCAATTGCATTTTTAATTTGTGAAAAACTATTTTGTACCACTCACACTATACCCCCAACATTTATTTTAAGATACATGTATTGGTTTCCTGTAATTGGTTAACACATTCTTTAGGGTATGGCCTATTTAAACTTACTTAAATGCACTGCATAGTTTGCACAAAATCTCACAGCGCTACAGCATCATGATAGCTGTAGCTCTGTGGTTTTCAGTCTGGCTTAGCCCACAATCATTGAGCAGTATTAAGTATAAGGTATTTAGGTCAAAAAGTAGCCTGTTTACATCTGCGGGGTATTTTTAGGCCGGCTAGGAAACCCTTCCGAAACAAACTCTTTGACGAATGACTTTAATATATACTTAAAGCTTCAACATGTTTTTGGAAAGCCACTTCAGTTTGGTTGAGGTTTGGGAAAAAGAGAAAAAGAGAGAAGGAACGTACCCACAGCCACCATGCCAGACTCCACGTTGCCAGACATTTCCCTGCAAATACTCTTCTCAATGTCTCGCCCACACATCTGCTGGTACTCCTGGAAGACTAATAAAGGCGAGAATCACAGGTGAGATAATCATAATATTTGAAAACACATGTGAAATGTGTATTATAAAAAAGTCAACGTGCAGTTATGACACTGAAGAAAGAACTACATGAGCTGGGGAAAAAAAAGTACAACAATGTTGAAATTACACACCTGCACGAAGGTGAGGCTTGCTGCGAGCACACAGGATGGCATTAAACTGAGACTCATCAGTTCCCACTTTATTTTCCCCGGCAGCGTACAGTTTCTATACACAAATTAAAGAAGGGACACGATCAGGCTTGCCAACTTTTTTTTTTTTAATAAGAATGTTACAACCAACCAGCTTCAGTACCTGAGCATCCTGTTTGGCCAGGGAGACATCAACGGCCTCCCTTTCGTCACGATTTCCCTAGAAAGAGGAAGACAAGTTGCGCTCATTAAACATTCATCATGTGGGCGGGTTACACTGGCAGAGTCAATACTTGAAGTTCACATGAGCTGTAATCGGTTTTGCGAGAGCTCATTGTGAATCAGGGGTAAAACGTGCAGCAGCTACCTGGCAGAGAGAGACCATGAGTCTGCGGAAGTGACCGGAGGTGTCGCTGCTGATGGCATCCTCCAGGCTCTTCCCGTACTCTGGAAGGAAGTTGTTGCTTTTTAGGAAAATACATTCATTTGCATAACATTTGCATTGTGCTGAGACACCACTGTTTCACCATCCAAGATCCAGGTACAAGTCAAATGGTAGTTGCCCTACCTAACATCAAAACACAACATTTTAACATGCCTTTAACTACTGTACGCAAGAGTCACATGAGACCATCAGTCATTTAAAAACAGATGAGCCTGTATTGCATTTTAAACAATGATAACATGCAGAATACATAAAATGGTTTTAGTAACTCAAACTCTTCAAACACAGGCTGTCTATATATAGATAGATATCAAATTAGAGGGAAGACCTCAACAACTGAGTGGAGAAACATACCGAATGCAGTAGCTTCCACACAGGTGCACCACATGGTACAATTAAGCACATCCAGTCATGCTCTGTGGCCTATATAAAATGCTGAGAAGGCCCAGTGGATTCTGATTTTGCCAGAGGGATGTTATAGTAGGGCTGCAGTGCATAAACCCCTCATTACAAAAATGAATGCACATTTGAGAGTTCAGTGGCTCCGGTCTACAGAGATGTGGAAAAAAAGGGGGGCCACAAAATGGTTTGAGGAGCATGAAAATGATGCCTTCGCAGTCACCAGATCTCAACATAATTGAACACTTTAGGGAGGTTTTGGACTGGCGTCTTAGACAGCCCTCTCCACCATTACCAACACCACCACCACAAAACACCAAATGAGGGAATATCTTTTGGAAAAACTCTGTTCCATCCCTCCAGTAGAGTCCCAGAGACTTAGTAGAATCACTGCCAAGGTGCACTGAAGCTGTTCTGGTGGCCTGTGGTGGATCAACACCTTACCAACCCTGTATAGTATAAATTATTTAAAGAATATATAGGGTGGGCTAAAGCCAATGTCATAATTGGTAGTAAAAAGTAATTTTTTTTTAACAATGTCAATCTCAGAACTCACCAGCTTTGTAGATTCTGGTGATTTCACAAATGTCTGCATTGGAGCGTGATGAGAGGATCTCAATCAGACAAGCTTCATCAGTTCCTGCGCCCTAAAAAAAACAACACATATAAAAGCCTTGTAAGACATTCAAAGAAACACCTGCTTCATAGAGTAAAAGTGGTGAACATTCATAGGTCAACAGCCATGACTCAGCCCTCAACTTGTCTGGCCTTGGACTTACAGGATTTTCTTTTTTTCGCTCTTATTTTCCTATTACATCACGCAATGCGGTTTGGACTACAAAACCAAAATGTAAGTATCTGCTGAGAGAGCAACTCGAGCTTCCAACCTTTATAGCCTCTCTGAGTTGAGATGCATCAAACTGGGTAGGGGTCATCAACATGGCAAGAACCAGTTTCTCAAAGTTTCCAGTGAGCTCAGACTTCAGATCGTGGAATAAATCCTAACAGGAAAAACAAAGAACAAAAAAAAAAACATGAGAGCAAAGTCAGCAAAAATGTAGTTGCCATATGAGGTCAATAATTACAAGGCATGAAACAGCAGCATGAATTTCAACTACAAAAAAATCTAGATTAGAAAACATACCTTCCCATAAGTTGTTTTATAGGCTGCAACCATTGGAACCCTCTGCTTGTTGCTACGACTTCCCAGAAGTTCAATAATGGCGTTTTCATCAGTGCCTGTGTAAAGACATTTTCAGAATCAATTTATGTGTTAAGTGACAATACATCTGATGGGTTTAGCATATTCACGTAAACATCGAATACTGACCAAAACCCTTCATAGCTTTTCGAAGAACTTCAACATCCCTCAGTGGATCGGCCCCTGGAAAGTCTTTAATAGATCCCCTGAACCCTTTCTATAAAAACAAAAAACATTATAAATAAAAACACAACACGATAAAATATAGAACAGTTACAAAGGTAGCTGTATGTGCAGTGGAACAGAGTTTCAGAGAAGTCCTAAGACAAATGCCTCTTACAGAAATGGCAGGTGCCTGAGGGTTGGACGGAACACCACTTCCATATCCAGGCATAGAGGGGTTAGTCGCTGGGGCTCCAGGGTAACTTGGCATGGGCTGGCCTGGGGCAGGACCCCCTGGGTATCCCTGCTGAGCTCCAGCTGGCTGCAGACAGAAAAGAGCTGTAAGTCCATGGTGTCAAACTTCATACAAAGCAAATAAGGTTCAAGTAGGACTGGTGAAGATAAGGTGATTTAAGCAAATGAGAGATTAATCTTAAGTCAGTCCATATGTTATCAGTGACGTGGCACTGTGACAAAAGAATGTATGTACCGCTCCATAGCCACCTGGTGCTGCACCCCAGCCTCCACCTGCAAAGAAAGTATTGACATAACACTGAAAAAGCAATTCATAGTAAGAAATATACATTATAATAATATAATAATAATAATAATTTTACATTAATATACATTATTGTAATTTTTGGCTGCATTTATAAGAATATACTGCATATAAATCCCCATGACACAAATCAACATTTTGGAGCCTCACCTGCTGGAGGCATGGAGGGATAACCTCCTGCTCCAGGCTGTGGTTGGTATCCTCCTGCCTGAGAAGGGAAGCCTCCAGCTGCTGGAGGGAAACCACCGGCCTGGGGAGGGTAGCCCCCTGCTGCTGGAGGGTAACCGCCTGCTGCTGGAGGATAGCCACCTGCTGCGGGAGGGTAACCGCCTGCCTGGGGTGGGTAGCCGCCTGCCTGGGGTGGGTAGCCACCTGCCTGGGGTGGGTAGCCGCCTGCCTGTGGGGGATAACCGCCTGCCTGTGGGGGATAGCCCCCTGCTGCCGGTGGGTAGCCGCCTGCCTGGGGGGGATATGCCCCTGGTTGAGGTGGGTAGCCCCCTGCTTGTGGTGGGTATCCACCGGACTGAGGAGGGTATCCTGGGTAGCTCATCTTCAGAACCTGGAGGTGACATGAAGTTATGACTTGTTACTTTGACGTATGAAGGCCAGCAAAGGGCTACTTTTGAACACAGGACAGAAATTCAGAGTTTAAATGTTGATCCTTTCCCATAAACTGCTCCAGTGACAGTACTACAAAAGCCCTAGAGGTACTGGGATGGAGGTTGAAAATGGAGTGTCAATGGTCAACATAACAATTACTGGTATGACTACTACAGTGTGTGTGCCGCATTCATTCAGACTGTAAACAATCAACAAACCCAAACAAGAATGTGTCAAAGGGATTTTAGTTACCCAGCTATTTGCTCAAAATGAGGTAGTTCAGTGTTATAATGGTATCTAAAATAACATTTAGACATCCTAAAATCACAAAACTCTATCTTACATCAGCAAAAATGCCATTAACAATTTTTCAGACAGTGCTTTATAAATGACACAAACTGATACCCAACCCTGCACCCATTAGTGTAACCCTAATAAACTGCTTTACCTTCCACCCACAACTTCTGAAAGTTAATGAATAAGCCACAACTTTAGACAAGGATGAGGTCCTTCTGAGTTTCTTTCTGATTCACTCCACACACACAAGGCTGTTTGACCAATTCTCTATAATGACGACAGAACTCACCACTTCCATCTGCCTAGATCTTTCACATATGATACGCCGTGCTCACAGCTTTTGATGAAGTTCAAGTTTCTCTTCCCCTTTCTCGGAAAAACACTGCATAATTGCAAACTAGCAAGGGGACCCAAACATGTTTAAATTACACATTAGGGATCCCTAATGATCCTTCTGGTGGGATCCCATCTATTTGCAGAGCTGCTGTTGAAATGACATGATTGTTTAGGTGCCTCAGTGTCATTAAAAAAAGCAAAATACTAATTACAGCTGCAGGTCTGTCCGCTGTCATTAACCATAATCTGTGAGTGGAAATTCACTTTGTTTATATGCACACAAGAAACCAGCTACTGGGAGAAAGCAGATAACACAAAGGTACAGGACACGGTTTGGCTCTATTAACACAACTTAGTTATTTACATGCAAACAAAGACAATTCAGCTGTAAAACTCAAATTTCTTTAGTGCAAGTAGTAGGAAAGCAGTAAAAGTTTAGGTTTAATTATTCTGTTGTTTTTTTACGTTGACTAACAGGCTGGGTGACTTCTTGGAAGGGCGTTTGATTGTTGACACTCCCCTCCTAAGTTTCCAGCCCTCTCCTTTGGACCCTTGAAGCACTGGTGAGGCTTTTAAGTGTAATCGTAAATACCACCATCTCCATCACAACACAAACTTAGGACCCCAGGATTGGTGAAATACGAGTGGGAAAGTCTAAGTCCAGATTGATTTAAACCTGACATAAAATAAAAATCTGGCATCTTGCTAGCAGTACTTACACCTGACTGTTTTTCCTTCGTTGCATTTTTTTCTAACATACGAACGAGTTTTAGAATTATTTTAATAATATCCGTCACATACGTATTTCATTAAAAAAAAAAAAAAAAAGATTTTCCACTGTTGTTATATTCAATTTGTACACTTAATGACACGTTAAGGCGCGAATGTGTGCACATTTTCACCTCTTGCTCATTTTTACGGAGAACACTGGAAAGCACCAAAATCTACTACAGCATCACAGGCCCGTGTTTTCCCAACTAGCTACAACCAAAATCTTTCACAGTAACGTTACTCTTGTTTATGCCTACAACAATAAAGCCTAATCTTACTATATAAAAAGGACCAAACGCTATCAAGCCTAGCTAATGTTTAATTTCACTCCGACATCCTTCCAGGAGCTTTTATCTACCCTGCGGTCCGTCAACGTTACATAATACTCCTGGAGGAAGTTACTGTTTAGCATTTAGCATCCAATATGAACACACACTGGGAGAAAGGACTAACACGTTAAATAGATACAGTTAAGAGTACCAGGAGGCCATTTTTAATACTTTTAAAATGAAGGCTGCTCTACGTTTGTTACTGTCAAGCTCGACACCGGCTGTGTCTGTTTAATTGGGCGAGGCTAATTCCCTGCATTCCTCGGGCAGAGAATCAGCAAAACAGTCGGCGCAAATCCTATTAAAGTTCCTTGCTGAACCTCGCTGTCGCCTGTAACGCGGTGGAGGATTAGTATTTCACGGGCTTTTACAGTCCAAAAGAAAAGCAAAAAAAAAAAGAGCTACTGGAGTCACTTACTTCTCAGACACGGGCTTCAGATCCAGGAAGAAGACGAGCAGTGAGCGGCAGAGTAGTTGCGAGGTGGGGCGGGTCCTCAGTATTGTTTCCGTCCTGCAGTCAATAACCTTTGCTCGGTAAAGCGGCTGATGTTGACTCAGTGGGCCGTGCTGTCATTTTTTCCCCACCGTGGACACTGGGATATTTGTTTCCAAGTGATTAGATTTGTGTTGTGATTGTGATTCTGTGGATATTTGTTAAACAAGAATTTTTTTAACTAAAATTCTATAGTTTTCATATAAATGGCCAACGTTGGGTTAGGTATGTGTGCACATATTTGCTAAGGAATTTGACTCCGGTTTTTAAGTTGCTCTCAATGTATGTACACAGAATAAGCATAACTAAACAGGAAAAACAAGCTCAACAAATAGAGTGCAAAGGATGCTGAAATAGATATTTACATGCAGGTTTCTATATGTACTTGAAGTAGGTGGATATGACAGTATAAACAGTATGCACAGCATGGGTAGATGTGTTTGAATGACTGTATTTATGTTTTATATTTGTTTTTATATTACTTAACTACATCTTTAGGATTAATCATGTCTTTAAAGCCCCTGAAAACTTGGTTTGAAATCTTAAAGAACCCCTCCAGCCATATAAAAATACTTATATTTTGTGTCTCATAGGATTTGTTCAGTGGAAGGGCAGCATAGAGCGTGTTTTTTAAAGCAGGGGCCAGGGCCACCAGGGGGTGCCAGGTGCCTCAGCTGATTTTGAGGGAAGGTGAGGGGGGAAATGCAAAAAAATAAATAAATACTGAAATCTTATTTGCCATGCCCATTTTTTAAATTGACTGACAGTCAAAACAACACTTATCACACAAACTGTCAGTGTTGGTCTTAACCTGCAGCATTATTTCACATCACATAAAACAACACGTCTCATCATCGCATCACAACATTTAATACAACATACACACACTGGAAAACATGCCTTCTGAGCCGACCTGTGCAGATTAGTGCAGTTTGCTCATTAGGTTTATTGCACTAGCTATAAAAGATCCCTTATAGATCATTTTGTTTGCCAGAGTTGCTCTGTAGTGTCCCCTGAGGGGAGCAGTATAGAGGGAGTGATTAGTGTCACCAATGATGCAACAAACTTTCCTTTGTAGAGCTGTGCTGTAAAGGTCATTCAATGGCTTTTGTTGGCGGCCTATTTTCTTTCCTGCTGTTTTGACAATCCTGGCTAGCTTGTTTTTCATTAGTGTTAGATATCCATACCAAACAGAGATATTAAACACAAGAATACTCTCTATCAGGCTGACATACACTGTTTCCAAGATGTTATGGCTGACCCAAAACCCCTTCAGTTCCTAATTGAAAGCAGTCGCTCAATTTGTCACCCATGTATTTTCCTAAAGAATTGACAATTTCCCACTGACTGACCACAAAGTGTAAGCAATGGGGATGGGTATAATAGCATATAGCTGCTGCTCTGCAGTGTCATCTCGTTTGTGTACACAGAAAATATAAGCAGTGATAAAACACAACCCTGACAATTTGATGTGTTCAAAGTGAAACACAAAACGAACAATGGATCGTATAATCAGAATCTTGTGACATTTATCCAATAATTTATGATTATATCCTATTGCACCAAATATCCTTACCATTTTCAATAATTTTATTGAAATGATTCTGTAAGTTAAAATGATCTGAATTGAAATTTACTTTTTAAAATGTCACTTTTTCCATAATAATAACAATAACATTTATGATAATAACATTATGTGTTCATAAAAATTAACATAGTTACACAAACACTGAATTGAATGACAATAAATACCTAGTTTTCTTTGTTGTTTGTTTGTTTTGGAAATTGTGGAATTTGTTCTGAGATTTTGGGAATGATGTTTCACTAACTAAACACTAGATGGCAGCAGTCTACTTGTGGTCAGGACGCGCCTACAGCCTGTTGGCCTTCCAGTATAAAAACAACAACTGATTTTCAGTGAAGAAATGAACCCCTGGTTGGTTTCCTGTCTGTCTAACTGAGCACCATAAAGTGGGGCTTAAATAAGCATGTTATCTTTTCTCATTTTATTGCTGTGTGTGATTAATCTTAAATCTAATGATGGAAACCTTTTATTTCTATTTATTTCTCCCTTTACTGTATCACTGCAATCAAAACCGTCATGGCATTTAAAAAAAACAAAACATTATATTGTAGGACTACATCAGTTTTTGTCAATAACATAACAAAACATATACTAGTAGCTGTACTGTTCAAATATAGTAGCCCACTGTACAACGAGGGTCTTCCTCGGATATACTGGCTATTGTAACTAAATATGTAAAGAATAAGTAAGCATAAAGATGTAAACCCATGTTGGACCTCCTATTCGCTGTGACGCAACCCAGAGCCCTGGCCGGAGCGCGCCTCCAGCTCCCCACTGGCATTCAGGCTTTTGCGCTTCATGCTTCCACTGCGCGCTCCCCCCGTGACTGTTACTGGGGTCCTTCAGGGCTCCCCAGGTGAACACAAGGATCACACCCATCCAGTTGGAGCAAGGGGATGACTGAAAGAAGTTGTGTAAACCAGAAAATCCGGCGGTTCTGACGGTGCAGTCCTCCAAAACCAACATGATGTCTGCTATAGAGACTGGTACCCCTGTGTACCAACCTGCACAGCTGCTCAACTGGGTCTATATGTCTTTGCAAGACACTCAGAGCGGCGCTTTTGATGCGTTCAAAGCCGAGTCGGACACTTCTCCTCAGGACATGAACAGCTCCAAACGCAGCGCAGCTGATCTGAGCT